AGTGTGCTTTGTCTAACAACTGAAGCTTTTATATGAGATGGTCACACAATTTAAACATGGTATCAGAGCATGATCAACCGTACTTTTTATTTATTAATTGAAATTGATATTTTTCTTTGAGGGAAAATGATTTTCACACATGTCTGACATCTCCACACACTGTTTGTGGGGCTTCCTTTTCGTGATTCTGTTAGCTTCTTGTCTGCAAGTGCCTCAATTTATGCTAGCTGTCTAGCTCTATGTTTTGTGAATTCAGTAGGCGTTTGGATGTACATATTATTTGCAAATAATTGCAACTTAGTGTTTGTTTTACAATTCTATACATTACTTATTTCAACTTCAACTTGAATAGAGAATATTGAAGTTGAAAAACTTATTTGAGGAGTATTTCAAGTGAGATAATGGTTCATTCACAAAATTTCGGCTTCTTTTCGTAGTGAAGTTTTATGTCCAAGTACAATTTCAACTTCCAAATATTCTGTTTCAATTTCAACTTTAAATAGTGTTTTATCTACTTCAACCAAATATTGTCCAAATGAGCCTCAATTAGAACATTAAAGAAAATGACTGCAATTTCTGATGTGGAGATGGGTTTCCTGCCAAAACACAAGCTACTTGCAGTGTGCTTGGAGAGTTTGGTGACATTTTTCCATTGCCTTTTATCAGGGGAAGAAATTATCTCCGGAGCTCAGCGTGTCCATGTACCTGAGTTCTTGGCAAAACGTGCTGAAGAATGTGGAATTGATGTGAAGACAATATCAACATATATTGATTCTTTCCGGTACTTTTCTTGGCTTATCAATTTTCCCCTTACTATTAGATTTCTTTCATAACTGGTTTAGTCAACTCACGTTAATCTTATTTTGCTAAACTTCTTGGAATTGTTGTCATCTGGTAAATTCAAGCTGTGACTAACTGCTCTAATTGTTCTCTAAATTTTGACATCCGCCCCAATTACACTTGATAAGCTCATTCTCAGTTGACTGAAATTTAGTAACTAATTTTTTTCCCGCATGTTAAAGATATGGTGCTCCTCCTCATGGTGGATTTGGAGTCGGACTGGAGCGTGTGGTGATGCTTTTCTGCGCGCTCAACAATATTCGCAAGACATCACTTTTCCCTCGTGACCCACAAAGGATTGCCCCCTGATTCCTATATTCATCGCTAGACATGCTCTAAGTTTACCTTCATTTATGAGGCACGAACATTGTAGTTCGAAGAGAATTAACAAAATGCCATGATTGTTCATGAACCCCTCCCTCGCCTGATTTTGGGGCTATGGAAGAAAAATGAATCAACTTATATCCATTGAAGTACTCGATTTTGACCTTGCTTGCTTCTGACGAAATTCCATGAGTATATCAGTTAATACGTTTTGAATAATTTGTTTTAACTTGGTTATCACCTTGCTTTCTGGGATGTGCTCCTGTCGTGTTGATGCACAGACAACTATAATTGTGGGGGAGGGAGAAAGGGAAAGAGTAAAGCAATTGATTTACCCAGCAATGTTTATATTTTAAGGCATTTGTATCAAAAGCTCCCATATTTAATTAATTCAAATTCGCACGTTACACTAAAGTTTATGTTTTTTTTAAATGATTTTTTTTGGTAAATTAGATTTATACCAAATTTTATAACAAGTTATCTATTTATATTATAAATATTTTTTTTGGTAATATACCAAATTAAAAGTGAGCAGGTTCACAGCTCAAAAAGAACAAAATTAATGCCAGCATACTCTATATAACCTCACCTAACAAATTTCTGAGTACTATTAAAACTAGGATAAAAGTTCCTTTCTCTAAATAGTCGATAAAGAATATTATAAATAGAATAATGCAATATTTTCTAAATTATAATAAATTTTAAATTATAATTAAAAAAATATTTTATTAACGACAATCAAAATTCTTTTATTATATAGACGATAAAGAATAAGAGAGAAATGGAACATATAAAATAATCATAAAAAATAGCATTAGATTTTCAAAAAAATTGTAAAAAGATATTCTAGTTATAACGTTAATTAACTTAAATAAAAATCAATAATAAAATATTAAATTATTTAAACTATAGGTAAAATACTCGGTTAAAAAATATTATATATAATATAAAAAGGTGCTTGCGTAAATGGATGATTGAAAATGTGAAAGGCAAAATAGATATGGCATATATAGAATAAGAAAGGAGAATATCTATTGTTTAAAGTTTATTTAAAGTTTAAAGTTGAGGAAAGAGTTCGACTTTTAAAAGGGTGTAAATAATGTAATTGTACTGATTAAACACGAGGTTTTGACCAATATTGCCCCTTATCTTTGAGGGTAGGTTTATTTTGGTCCCTCAAATATAACCTTGAACATATTTAGTCCCTTAAGTATGCTAAAGTGGAGCATCTTTAGTCTCACTGACAGAGGTTTTGACCAATATTGTACCTTATCTTTGAGGGTAGGTCTATTTTGGTCCCTCAAATATAACCATGAGCATATTTAGTCCCTTAAGTATGCTAAAGTGGAGCACCTTTAGTCTCACTGACACAATATATTCAAAAACTAACGATGTTACCCAACTCTAATTCATAAAGCAAATCTTCTGCTCTAAAGCAAAATGTTTCCTCTCATTTTATTGGATAACGCAANAAACAATTTGCAAATTTTATACATTTTTTCGGCTATTATTTTAATAGCGGTTATACATTGTCATTTTCTCATTGAAAACTGGCACAAAATGGGATATATTCAAGATCAAAATTTTAGAAGGTATTATCTAAAAATGAGGAATTAAAGTGATAATTTGCGTTATCCAATAAAATGAGAGGAAATATTTTGCTTTAGAGCAGAAGATTTGCTTTATGAAT